TCAAATCCGATTATCCCAACCCCCATATTTAGTAAAAAATAAGAAGACGTGATATGAAGTAGAACCTATATTCTACAAGCATCCAGAAGGTACGAGGTCCGAGTCCAGAAGAGAATCAGGATCCCGGACTAGGGATCCGAGACCGGGTCCTGGTCAAATTTCAAGACCCGGAACTTCAGGTCTTGAGAAATTTACCAAATTATTGTTACAATACTTATGATAAGGAAAACCAATTTATTTTCTCTGAAGAGCTTATGAATATTAGCAAGTTACAACGGAAAGAGACAAATTCAGCACAAAACATCCTTTCATAAACCATATCCAGTTACTTAATGAGTATTTACCACCATTCAAATTTCACAATTTTCACCTGCAGTAAACAACATATTCGCATAATTTTATTGAACTAATTGATCGATGTACATAGCTACACAACAAAAGAATGTAGCCCATACCATTGTTTTCTATGCATCACAAAATAAGTTAATTTTGAAAGAGTTTTCATTCTCAGTTAATTCTTTATCCATCTTTCTCACTAGTATTAATGATTATGTCTAGAGTAATTCAGGTCATAATTGTGGGCTTAAATAAAAACAATAGCAAGAACATGGAATAATTTACTCTTTGCATTTTTTATCATATTCTACAAATAAGTACAGATAAATAGATAGTTTGATTGGCGAGTGTATAAGTAAGCAGGAAGGTAGAATGGTATATCAACAAGTAAATGACTTTGCATTCACTAGGAATCTTCATTGCAACGTTTGTCATCTACAACAACACTATAAGTGATGAGTTTCGGTGCAATACAATCGAAGAAGTATTGCTAAAATGATATCTTGTTTGATCTCAGTCTGTTATGATAGCTTAGAACCATGCCATTTCAGTCATTCTCATTTTTTAAATATGAATTTTTCATTCAAAACTATGAACTTGTCACATTGGTAAATGTCAAGTTAGACAAAACAGCCTAAAAATGACTTTGTTATAATGTAATATGAAAGGAAATTGTACAATGTACAGATTTTTCATTTTCCTTAGTTGGAAAATATCTAATTAACAATGAAAACTTGGGCAAAACCTTAATCATTCATTATGCAGTGGTGCGTATATATATTATGTACTCTATGAAAGTTTCAACTTACAGGTGACTGACTGTTCGGATTCAGTGGCTAGGTGTGTAACGCGTTGATGCTTGAAGCAAACGGTACTGAGTTCGAAACCCAAACTAAACATCAACCACTCGATGCAGGTACATCTAGTTGACGAGTTTCAAATGGCATTCGATTCATTCGCTTTAGCGAACCCCACACAAACTGTTCTCCAAATCATTAAATCCGCTTCCATGATAATTGAGTGGTCTTTAAATAGTTGATCAATATGAAAGCTGAGATTAAAGGTTGAGCAGTTAGTGAAAGTGAGAAGATTGAAAGAAGTGTTTCATATCAGTTTGCAGCTTCATTTTTCTGATTGACGCTCTTGGGTATACCTCTAAAAAGTCAGAAACTAATTATACTACTGGCTGTGTGTTTCATGCTTTCCAGATATAATCAGTTAACAGAAATCAATCAAAAACCTCAAACTTTTTGACAATAAATATACGCTTGAAGTAAAAGTGTGCCAAAAGTTTCATCAAACTGAAGTGTTTTCTATTTTAAACGAGCTAATTGTCATTTTACTAATTGATCCTGAATATAACTGTTACGTGAACAACCACACATGTTTATGAATTGTGTTAACGTAACTAAATGTCTAATTCATAGTCTTTCATCCACACCAGCTACATTTTGTATCATTCATATTCCACTTTATCGATTATTCTGTTGTACAAATGAGTTTGATGTCAACGTGGAACACAATATTCAAACAAACAAACAAACTAATATAACATTCATAATGAAAACACTAATCAGCTTTAGGTATATTTTAGCCAATGATGGGAGAATAGCAATGATCGATCTATTCCACAAAAGAAAAGCCTGTGAAAGCAGTAAACAATTAACAGATATTGTTTAAGTCAAAACATCGTCGACTGAGAAAATTGCTGTCACTATACGAATATGAAATGTGAAGTTAGACAAAACAGGATAGTGAATAATATTTGGTACACATACATATTGTTATTTTCTACACTTCACAGTTTGATAGTGTGTAGTTTAACAGTTTCGTTAACGAACCGACACTCAGTTAGTACATAGTTTTACGTGGGTATAACTATGACACTCTTAGGGTAGCCAAATTCTTCATAATCTAATCGATAGCACTCCTGATCCCTGAACAGCAAAACAATGGCGAGAATAAAAAAGACGGTTTTATCTTAAGGTTCATTACTGGAAATCAAACAACAATATTTATACGTGTATTGACGACTGTCGACATCTGGAATCTTCTGGAAGTATGAAAAATGTGACAGCTGAACAAGCAAAATTCCAATCCGAGTTTGACAGATACTGCAAATTCTCGACGCTTCCGTGATATATGTTGACCAGATGAAATTTTCCAATTCTTTGCCTTGAATTCTACAGGATTGTAAGAAACCCAACAATTACCATGAGTAGTTCTCATATCATTGTGAAGTATCCCTTTTCATAACATCTATCCTTATTGTATTTCCCCGAATTTTGTGATCAGAAGCAAAAAGTAGTTATTAGCTAAACTTGTTCAATCTTATCTAAACATTTTCTGTAATTGATAACATTCCACTTAAATGTTATTTGTACATAAATAAAACAAAGCTGATCTAAATTTTTTTTAAAAACACGAATTTATTGTGTAATATAATTTATGCAATACACATAACATTTTAAATATTAAATTCACTTGTAACCAATGAAAGACAACATAAAATAGTGTGAAAATAAAGATGGCGACAGCAATTAAAACAAATTACAAGTTTCAATGCTCATTGTGTTTAGGATCAAGATTAGACTGGTTTAAGGATTATCAACAGTTGGGTAGATTCATCATGACAAGAGTTTGGTGTATAATTAAAGAATTACATGGTCAAATGATGATAGCTTGAACAATTATAGAAATGTCCTCATTGACAATTTCTATTGTTATTAAAGAATTTTTAAAATTTTTCTTAAAGTCAATCCAATGACCCTAAATCTTCCAGAAATAAGTAAACCATGGTTACGATATTAGACCAGTATATAGTAACACTAACATTGATTATCATTACTATTATTTAAGATATTATTAAAAGTGAAATAATGATATATATATATTTTCTGTTGATGTGATTAAGATCAATTAAAATTTATTAGTGAGATAAAAGTATTTCATTGATACCCGCATTATGGTGTTAATATTAATGGAATAGTAAAAGATGATATTCAAACTTTTTATTGATGAATAAATCTTACACCATACTTATCCTTTGAAAATCAATCGAATTCATAGTAAAAATAATACAAAATTTATCAATTTATTTAAATACTGTATATATAATAATACACGATCATATCATAGTAAATAATATAAATTTGAAGTTTGAAGTTTCTTCATTCTCTCAACAAAATGTTTTGAACGTGGAAGTTCAGTTGTTCTTTTGAACAACATTATCAACAAGAGTTTAAGGTAGACTTCTACTTAAATGATTTAAATTTAATGTAAAACTTATTAAGTACTAATTGGTATTTTTGTTTTTAAGCTCTACCTTAAACGTTAAGGCTAGTAATTGGTACTCGAATATGAGTTTAAGGTGACTGGAACCGGTGATGTGGATACCGAAAGCTGAACCTCTTAACCACTACGCCTCAGCTTCATTCATAGTTATAAATATACCCTGAAAGAAAGTCATTTTAAATTGAATGTCAGCAAACTTGGAAACCAATAAGACTAGTTTGAACTTGAAGAAAACACAAATTAATGCTTTGCTGCAACGATAGAGAGGCTATGAAACGTAGCTGACCTAACTACACTTTTTAATAAGTACTTTCGACACTGAAAATAACAATCATGATAATACGAAATAATGATAATCAATAATGAATTGTCAATATCATGTAAACTGTACAATCACCAATAGACTGGTTCTTTTATTTCTTTCCTCAGTAGGTTAAATCATCAACAGTAGTAATAGTGTAGTGAAGGAGAACACAGGTGACAGCAACCGAGTTGTATTTAACGAAAATTACAGAGTTACTCAGTAAAATAGGAAAACCATTTCGTAAACGGTTAATTTGCAAATCTTCAATTCATCATCAATCCATTGTCTGACATTTCACTATTCATGCGTTTCATACTAATTCCATTGTGTTCCCACTCTTCCTTTCTTGATCTTGCCCCATCTTCTGCTGCCAGACATTACATTTACACTCGCGTCATATACTACTTATAAGTAGCGCGCACCACAATAGGGTTGATATGTTGATATTTCAAAAAAAACTGATTTTATGAAAAATAAAATATATAATTCCTTGGTCAATACTTTTTTATACAGCAAACATATGAATAGCGTGAAATTGTTTACAATTGCTCCCGATCGTATTTTTTTTCGAAAATCATTATCAACATTCTAGCACTAAGAAATGTTTAGCTCTCCGAATCGAATTCTATAATAACTAGATGAGTGAAATTGTAAAAGAATTTGTAATTAACAGATGTTATGTATTTTATATTTCAGTTGAATGTATTAGTTGAAATATTGCTTGAAAATATATACTGAGATTTAAATACATTGACAAGAATAATAAATGATGTGCAAGTCAAAATAATGAATAGCAAACATTCTTTCAATGTAATCAAAAGCAAACATTAAATATGCGATTTAGTTAATAGTTAGTTGATTTAAATGTATTTCTCTGTAGACCTGTGAAGATTGTACATTATGTGACTGTGTTAATGTTGATATATTGTGTATATGAGTCTTTTCATTCATTCTAATGTAAAAATATTACTCATTGCAATTAAAGTAATCTAGTCTCATATTGTAAAGAAGTGGTTTATGTAAAAAAAATTTTTAAATAGATAAAAGCAATAGAATCTGTAATAAATTATTTTAATGCAATCAAAATATGAGTGTAATATTGTTTTTCGGAGAAATTCCTGATTTCATATTTCAATGAATTCAATCCATCAAGGAATATACGACTGGCTGCACTTCTTAATAATCGATATCGGATTTTGACTTTTGAACGAACCTGTTTAGCATGAGGTTGAGCGAAATATCTGCCAATTGACGGTTGAATATGTTTATACATAATCTTTGATGCTTTTAATCGTTTCTCCAAATCATCATCCTCTCCACCCCAACCGAAATAACCATTCGAATAACCATTAATCTGCATCAAATGTTTGGTCGATATCTTCAGAACACCACCAATCAGTGATTTATATGGCAAAATGTAATTCCATGTACTCACTCCAACACTCAAATGAACTACGTGTTCCAGTGTCTCATTATCACAATCATGTGGAATTCTGTCATCCAATGGTATTACGTCGGCATCATGAAATATTACACAGTTGAAACGGAACCGTTTACTAGCTTCAACAAATCCAATATTCAACAACTGACCTTTGTTCAACATATCATTACCTTCTTGTTCAATAACAAATATTCGATAACATAAATGTTGTCTCTGGAGAACTGGAATCAGATTGGACAATGTATTATTCAATTGTTTCCATCTATCTCTACAAACGATGACGATTGCCACACCAGATAGCGGAACGTTGCTGCAAGTCGTATTCTCCTCCTTAAACATCCAACTACCACCAGGATTGTGTGGATAAAATGTGTCGTTGATTGGATTTATGTGTTCATCGAAATTATCATTGAATGTCATTTTCCCAATTGGTTTCAATGTATTGACCTTATTCAATGGAACACTGTCAATATTTTCACAAATTGTACGGCATGTTTGTTTACGTTTATTACGTGTTATATTAGGTACAATGATTGTTGTATACGTGTGATTTCGTATGATAACATACTTAACAGTGGCATATTTAAGATATATTTTTAAAATGAATATTATACAAAATGTCAATGCGACTGCTCTAGAAATTGAAAAATAAATTCCAACAGTTGATTTCTTCTTGTAATACATTTAGTTTTACAATCGTTATCGTAAAAATTTAAGTTATATTAACGGTAGCGATAACAACAATTGCGTTCTCTTCATTCAAGTAACATTTTGAATAAAAACACTGAACCAATTAATTTTTAATTTTATGTTTGACCAATGAAATTTGCCTTTTGTTTATTATTATTTCTTAAGGTTCAAAATCATCTATTCGTCATAGAATAACATTATAATACTGAGAATCATAAAAAATTTAGTAATCGGTAAAATGTGGTTTCAACATCAATCCACATTGTCATCGTGTCTCAAGTGTGATTTCTGAACTCATTCACCAAGTCTCTAGGTATGAGCCACATCCTATGTTTTAAGGCAGATTACTTTTCTCAGTCACGTGAACTAGAGTACTTAGAGCTGAGTTTGAACTTGAGATTTAATGGATGAAGGTTGAACTCCTTAACCGTTAAAATCACTCCATTTCAACTTCACAAGAGTTTTACACTTCATACTTAAATTTCAATTCTTATGTGATTCACTGAAGTTATTTCTTGGAATAAATTTGACAAAACCATTTGATAGCTCAACTGTTCGACTGTTTCTTTGTATATTGTGATATTTATCAGAGATTTTCAACTTCATCATAGAGCCTTAGTGCTTATTGGTATTTCAAGCTTTCGATCGACATAAGGTGTAGGAGTATTTCTGTACCGAGAAAATATGAACTTGGCTTTCAACTTATAATCATATTCATAACACTGAACTCACAAACAGATGTGAAGTCATTTGGTAATAAATATTGAAAAAACTATTGGAAAGTGTTAATTGTAAACAATTACAAGCAAACAAAAGCGGTTTTTGTTAGGTTAAAAGTAGTAGCATGTAGAAATTTTTATGAAGAGATTACAAGATGATTCTGGGGTGTAGTAGAAGATATTCAACCTTTTAAGAAATGCTTCATTTATTCTTCGTTTGGTTCATTCCAAGTGTATTACTGAATATCTACTTTTTTTCTGTGAAGTAATTCATACTGGAAACATTTTTATTATTTATGTGGTCCAAAGATATTTTCAGATATTTTGATGAAATACTAGGCACTAATTGTTCCCAATGAAGTTTCTTTTGAACATACCTCTTCGAACTTATGGAATATTTAACGAATTTATATTAATCAGCATGACAAAATTGATATTATACTGTAATTCAACTAAGAACGAACTGATGAGATCACTGACACTTACCTTAATCATTGTCTGATTCGAAAGATTCTTGACCTGTATTCCTTTGTAATTTTTTGTGCCCAGACATCCCTAGACCATTTGATATTAGACAGAACAAAACCAAAAATCAATTATTTAGGTCTATAGAAACGTGTACTTCACATAACCAGCTGAACTAATGGAATGAGGCAAACGATTACAATGGAAGATTAATTGGGAACAGGCAGAAAATAAGTCATCATTCATTTCAATAGACAGATAAATCAATAAAAATCTTACGTTCATAAATGGTTCAATTAACTATTGACTAGTATGCAAAATAAGACTGTAATAAAGACCACTGATTGACTTGTTACAATTGTTGAGTGACAAAGCAGGACTGAATACAGTTTGAAATGAGTGGCATCACTTTCGAAACTTTGTATATATATATATATATATATTTGAAAAAGATGGAGGATCGTTTTTAATGGACTCAGTTGTATAATTTAAGAATATTTTCATAGATGTTTCTTGTGTTTGCTTACGTGGTTATGTATGTTATCCACAAAATATCATATATAGAAAACATTTTAATCATAAGAATCAGTTAGGAAGTCTTAAAATACTTGGCATAAAATGTACACATTTGAGAAATTTGATTAGATTTAACTTCAAAAGTTAGCGATCTCAAAGTAGTTCAAACTTCTAACTGAAATGAAAACTGCTACGTCAGCCATTATTAACAGCACAGTTTAATCAGAAATATTATTACAAATATTTATGGAAAACATTATTTCAACTGTACTCGATAACCAAACTAAGCTCAAACAAAGGTATCCTTCAAAATGTAGGATCTTCTCAACCAATCAGTGCACAGATAAACCACGAAAAATATAGTGGTTAAAAATTTAACGAAATGTTCAGGGATGTCTGTAATGGTATTTTTTTAATAACGGCCATTGTAACGGCCTTACATTTTTACGCTACTCGCTCCTAGTTCCGCTTTTCAGATTCTCTTAATCTAAAGCTTGTGTAATAACTGATTAATGTTTATTGATATTCTTAATAAGTGTAGGTGCATTTGGTAGGCTTGTTGGGTCATCGGCTTAGTTCTTCTTTTGTTCTTCCGTTTCCCAGTTCTCCCAGTCAATGCTGCTCAGAAGGCTACCATACTACTCAAGGTATCTTATGACTAGACGTGAACCGCTACACTATTCATTGAGAGCACAACAAAAAAGATGGGAATTAAAATGATGATTTAATAATGCGACGTAAATGTTATTTACGTTCACAAATTTTTATAAAGCTGTCTAACATATCCAGCTGTGAAAATTCAACTTGTATGCTACCCCATGTAAATTGTCTAGCAGTGATTTGTTTTCATAATTTTCTACAACCAGTTTAATAAATGCTCCTATTGATATTTACTGCCTTTTTTGCATGCTGTTGGTAGATCTCTACAACTTACCACTCGATTTTCAATTCATTCGACTTCTGTTACTTTAGTATGTAGTGGAACACTACGAAGAAAACGCGATTGGTGAAAAATAAACATTTATTACTGTACTCGTTTTGTTTAACTGTACAAAAAAACGTTCTTTTCGCGTTGCTGCCATTTTTCATAACGCGCTGCTCCCCATGTAATGCCTACTTTGTCCTTATTGAAATATGGCTTTGTTTTGTTTTAAGCCATGGGATAGTATGGAATATTTAGTGGTGATCACAGTCAATCTGGTATCTATCACCATTAAAATTGGTGAGCAGACGTTTCTCCTAAAGAAATCAATTACGGTGATACAATTTTCATCTATCGCCATTTTTATAATGTTGCAATACTATTAATAATGTCCTTTGCTACAAATTACACTTGAAAACAATGTTTCGAAATGGTGGATAGCTATAATAATAGACTCCGAGGTGCAGCTCATTGCAATCTCACCTGTCTCCTCCCCGTCACTTCAGGTTGTTAGTTTATTTTACGTGCTCGATTTTTGCACTAACGCTAGGTACTTGGTGGTCACAAGTGCCCAAGTTTCTATCGTATCGTTTGGTAGCAGTAAGTCATAAGCTATGATGCTTCGACCACGCGCTGCGAATGGCTCTGTCATTCCTACCTACGGTGCACGGCAGACCCCCAGTCATGGCAAAACCTTGCTGACTGGCACTGGACAGAGTAGTTTTCGCTGAGCGTGAGTTTGACAGTTCACATGCTATATGTATTACTTCGTCTTTCTCACAGTCCTTAAGACTCCTCTTTCCACTCGGTTTGCAGAAAGATGGCATTTATTGGAGATGACATCGCGATTACGGAGCAGCAACGGGAGATATCCAATGTTCCGCCTTCGAACTTGTATACGGCATGACCGTGCATCTGCCTGGGGAATTTCTTCACACCACAGAGCAGCGATTTTATGTATATCAGATAACGTCCAACGACTATCTGCGTAGATGCGAATACTGCCTCCGGTGTGAACTCGAATATAACATCGACAGGTCACTCTCCATAGAGAGTTATTTACCTGTCCGCAAGTTTTCTTACTAGTAGATTCGGCACTCAACAACCTAACGAAGGATCTTTTCACGTGATGTCTCGTCAGGAAAAGACCTTCAAGGTTGATGGACACAGTCAGCATTGATCGTCTCATACCAGCACACGTCAATGACAGTACCCTAGCTGGTAAATCGAGATTTAATGCTGGACTCATCCAACTCACTAGCGGGATCCTTATTTTTCCTTCTGATCCCACGCTAGATGCATCAGAGACCTTCTTCTCACATCCCAGTCAACAGCATTCGTCATCTTCACTATCTACTGATGAGACTCCGGCCTCACGTCCAGATCGGCAGACCACGCCGCCATTGACTTCGGATGAGATTGCAGGCTCACGAGGTACTCACGAGACTACCGTCTCGCGTTCCAGTCGCCGCGTACGCATACCTATACGCTTTCGCGACCAATATCTCAATCAACAGCGAATACGCGATAGGACACTGTCCTCATACTACATGCATGCTTCACCTTTCTCTTTTTCCTTAGTTTTTTTAACCCAAAGCCACGCCTCCGACCATTGCCCTGTTGGTACCGTCGACTTCAGTCAACCTTGGCAAATGCTGGCTTGATCACCCACGCTCATGTCAATGCACTCAGTCGATGTTCCGGTTACGATTATATCTGGTTTCGCACTAGTCGTTATCATCGTTTCCGGCTCCTTCGATGAATCTGATTCCGTCCTGCGTCTGTAGCTTCATCTGGTCCGGACCCCTGCGAACGCAATCTTCAGACTCTGGATACGAGCCACGGTGGTGTGGAATGCCAATCCGATAGACGAACTTTGCACGTAAACTCGAGCAGCAAACCTGGCACGTTACTACTGGTAAAGTTCAACGTAGAAGACTATCGGTGACAACACGAGCTTCATTGGTCGCTTCCTGTTCTTTAACCCTTCCGCACTACAATCGAATGTTGGCCGACCAGCCCTCTACCGAACGCAGCCGCTATGTATTGAAAGTTTAAACCCTTTCTAAGGGGGGTTGCTGTAGTGGAACGCTTCTACGAAGAAAACGCGATTGGTGAAAAATAAACATTATTGTACCTGTTTTGTTTAGCTGTACAGAAAACACTTCTTGCGCGCAAAGTTCTTTTCACATTGCTGCCATTTTTCCAAACGCGCTGCTACCCATGTAATGCCTAATTTGTCCTTCAATAAAATATTGAAACACGAATTTATTTTGATTTAAGTGACGGGATATTATGGAACATTTAGTGGTGATCATAGTCAATCTCGACTCGGTCACCACTAAAAATAAATCATGAACAACTTTCCACAT